TCTCTGTATTCCTAAAGCAGTGTTGTGTCAATAACTGTGAACTCAGTTCTTGCAGCACGGATCTGCTTTAGAATTTTGGTTGTTCAGTTATTCCAACACGGGTTTTGCATGTAACTTCTTAACATTCTCTTCCTAGGATCCCTATTTTATGAAAAATCACTTGGGTTCTTATGAATGCAAGCTTTGCCTGACGCTCCATAACAATGAGGTGAGTTGAGCAGCTGTCTGTCTTGATCTCCATGGCAACAGATATTTTAGAATAATGCCAGCTCCAAGTGCTGGAACCGAAGCTGTTCTCGTTGGCTGATTGCTGGAGGGGTGATGGGGGGAGCAGAGGCTGTGGATGTTAAGCATGACAAGTTTCTGACAGTTCAGCAGTTGTGAGCAATCTGCAATTTTTGAGTTCAATTCCGCTGTGCTCTGAGGATTAAAATACCTTTGTCAGTGTGAGATGTCACCTCTCATCCATAACAAATATCTTTCTGTTCAGGAACAGCTCAGTCTTCGTCTGACTTTCTTTCTTCTCCCCCCAGGGAAGTTACTTAGCACACACCCAGGGGAAGAAGCATCAGACCAATCTGTAAGTTGTTCTCCACTGTAGTTATTCTCCATTACTTAGGCACTTCAAAATTAGATTGTGAGCACCTACAAAACCTGACCTCCATCATGTAGCAGCACGCTGGGCTTGAATGATCTTCGTCTCTATCTGTTTCCTAGGCACTCACCAGCAGGTGTGAACTAGCTGTGCTCTGAACAGCAGTGCTGACAAGCTCCAGTTCAAAGCCAGTTATGGCATTTCTGAGGGAAGGGAGCAAAAGAGTTTTAAAGGAGATTAAATCTAGCTGTAAAGGAAGCTTCTTTGTGAATACAGCTTGAGAAAAGTTCATAAGCTTTAGTCTAAGAATGCAGGTTTGCTCTGCTGTAGTCATCTGGCTTGTGGAATTAATTTCCTTTCTGACTTCTAAGAAGTCATCTGTGGAGGTGGGCACCACTCTTAGAGGTGGGTGAGATGGTGGAGGTGACAGCCTGCAGTCAGGGCAAGGCCTGCAGAAAACTGGCCTCCCGTGGTGCTGGAGGAGGAGCAGCAGTTTCCCATTGTGCTCCCTGTGAAGTGCAGAACGCTGCCATGCTGATGCAGCTGCCTTTCAGCCACCCTTGGGAGCCGAGTGCTGGTAACTGTTTAACGTTGCACATTTCCAATGAATCCAGGGCCCGTCGAGCTGCCAAGGAAGCAAAGGAAGCCCCTGCCCAACCTGCACCAGAAAAAGTCAAAGTGGAAGTGAAGAAGTTTGTGAAAATTGGACGGCCGGGTTACAAAGGTTTGTCAGCAGGGCCTGTGGCAGCAGATGCCCTGTGGCTGCTGGAGCTTGCTTGAAGTGCAGAGCTGTGGGCATGAATTGTTCATCAGCTTTTTTAGCAGAGCTGTCCATAAATAAGATATGGGCTTGTCTCCTGATGTCCTTTATTGTTTGAATTGCCCATGGGATGTGTCTCTTTTGCTGACAGTCAAGTGGGAGCCATTTTAATAATAGATCAGTAGGGCTCAGTCTGTCAGCTCTCACAGTGGTCAAATGGGAGATGATGGCGTCGCTTCAGTCTCTCTTTTCCTTCTGCTGTGCTCTGCCATCTCTCACTATTGCTCACAAGTCACCCACTGGATGTATTGCTCAGTTTTTTCTCTCTGAACTCCTCGCTGTTTGATTTTGGCCTTCACTACAAGGCACGGCTGCTTTATCTCCCAGCTGTGCTCTGCAGTGCACAGTGTGTCAGTGTCTGTGCCCCACAGCAGCTGCATTTCAGCAGACACCCACAGGAACTTCGCTTGAAGACATTGTGGCATTTTATTTGATAAATGGGAAATAAAGTCCTGTCATATTTTGTTGTTTGGAGCTTCCTAGGGCAGAAGGAATATTGTGCTGACCTTTATGTCATGTACTAAGCTTTCTTCTTTTCTTTACAGTGACCAAACAGAGAGATCCAGAGACAGGCCAGCAGAGCCTTCTCTTCCAGGTAAGGTCAAATTCTTGGTTTCTGGGTTATCCAAGTAAAAGCTTGGCTAAATGAGCAGTTCTTTGCAAGACTCATGAGGTAATAATAAAATAGAAACAAAAAGGGCTTATCTTGCTACTCTGCTGCTGATGACTGTGTCAGCTAAATGGAAGAATCCATGATCGTGATTGTTGAGCTGTTTTCTTTGGCACCAGCAAGCTTTCAGTTGGGAGCTTCTCTTCTTCAGCTGTTCTTCCGTAGCTGAGGGGTTCCTCCTGCATGAGGGAGGAGTGCATAAGGGGGGGCATTGTAAATCTGCCATAATCCCCCCGCAGATCGATTACCCAGAGATTGCAGAAAGCATCATGCCTCGCCATCGGTTCATGTCGGCGTACGAGCAACGGATTGAGCCCCCTGATCGGCGCTGGCAGTACCTCCTGATGGCAGCAGAGCCCTACGAAACCATCGCCTTCAAGGTAACGTTTGGGGCTGACTGATGACAGAGAGAGCTCCCATATTTTCCAGGACATTGGTTCCCAGCGATGGCCGTCACAGACTTGCTCTGTTCTAGCCTTTTTTGGGGTTAATGGCCTGGAAAGGAAGGTCAGGAAGACGTGGCTGGAAGTTGTTAAACTCTGCTGAGAATTACTGGAGGACTCTGGCATGAAAACCAGGCTCTGCGTTGAGCTTTGGGAGCCGTTGAATTCTCAGTGTCTGGCGCAGAAAGGATCCTCCTGGGCTCTGCTCTCAGCCTTTGTGCAGATGTTGAGAGGGGTTTTTTCTGCCTGTCCTTGACCGATAGGGAAGTAACTCAATTCTTTGCTGCCCCCACCTCTATCTAATAACATCCGAGACGAGCGCATCTCACAAAGGCCTGGAATAACTGCTTATCTGGCGGGCTGTGGTGCTAGAAAGGGCCACGGAGCTCATCTGGTGCTGCTAATAATAGCTCCCTGTTCTTCTTTGTTGCAGGTGCCAAGCAGAGAAATCGACAAAGCGGAGGGAAAGTTTTGGACCCACTGGAACAGGGAAACCAAACAGGTAGCTGGAGCGTGGCAGCATCTTAAGGGTTGAAGGGGGAGGGGGGGAGGGCAGAGCCTGGGGGAAAAGGCAGTGGAGTCGCATCCATTTGGGCTTTGGCGCTAAAGTCGCTGACGTGTGATGGCACAAAGTTGTCCTGAGAGCTGATGGTTTCCTTCTCTTCGCTCTTCTCCCTCTCCCCAGTTCTTCCTTCAATTCCACTTCAAAATGGAGAAGCCCCCAGCTCCCCCCAACCTTCCTCCTGGCCCTCCGACCGTGAAGCGGCCTCCTCCACCTCCGCTGATGAACGGATTGCCCCCCAGGCCCCCTCTGCCAGACTCGATGCCTCCACCTCCTCCGGGAGGGATGACTTTGCCCCCCATGCCACCCTCTGGACCAGTGCCGCCTCCTCCAGTGCCACCTCAGCTGCCACCGGCGCCCGGCGTCCCTCCCCCTGCTCCTCTGCCACCCATGATGAGACCCCCCCTCCCCACGGAGGGGCCGGGCACTATTCCCCCTCCGCCTCCCTCCAACTGAAGCCTCTCCATCCCACCGGACTCATCTGGCTCATAGCTTTTTATATGCAGGTCACAACTGATTGGGGTAAAATAGTCTTGTTTTGTATGCCAGTGATTTTGACTAGATCCTGTAGATCCATTAAAAGGTTTTCACTTTTGCTTTCTCTCTTTCTTCCCTTGTAATTGGTTGAAATCTTGTTGCGTGGTCGCTTTATTTTGTCCTTCAGCATGTCAAGCATTCCCCACCTGGTTATGTTAGCAAAATGATCCAAAGAGGACACAGAAGATAGGAGCTCCCCTGACGCCTCAGTCAGCTGCCAGAGCTGCGTTTCCCCATCCTGACCTCACATGTATCCCATAATGACCAATGAATCAGTTGCTATTCAGCTAAAGTCCTTTAACCAAGTTGGCTGGCCGTGGGCACGCAGAAGGGACTCGTGTTTTTGGCAGAATGATGGGGAGCACAGTGCCCTACGTGTGCAGTTCTCTGTCTTCCTGCTCGATTGCATTCACAGTCAGAGCCTCCCTCGTGCTGCGCTCACAAACCTTGGTTTTCCTCCCAGCACTGAGCTCCGTACAGCAGCTCGGATGGCAGCCAAGCACAGAAATCTGCTTTCTCTTTGAAGGGAATCACTTCATGCCGCTTCTCAAGAGCCCTTGAAAAGCACGGGGTGAGCTTTCAGTGGCAGCACAGAAAAAAAAATCCTCCCTCCCTGCTGCTCTCTGGGCTGTTGATGCCCAACATGGGGCCTCCGTGCCTGAAACAACTGGGCTGAGCCTCCTGCATGCAGGCCGTGTTTGGGAGCCCTTTGGGTCTGTGTGCTGGGGCTGTATGCTGAGCTTCACCCTGCACGAGTCCTGGGAACACAGAACAAGGCTCTGCTCGTGCTTGGGGGCCTTGCATGCGTACATTGGCACCTGTTAGGTGCTGTTCTGCACGCTTTGTGAGGCTGGAGGCGTGCACAGCCTCTGTGCTCTGAGGGGGAGGCGCCCAGTGGAGGGAGCTTCGGGCATTTCCTTTTCCCAAATGTCTCCCCCTTATCTTCACCCTCTCCCCCAGGTGTGCACAGCCTGCTCCTCCCAGTGTTGCTGCTGATGGGGATGGTGTGCGCCAATCCCTGCGAAACCTCCGGCCCCGATTCCACCCTCCTCTCAAAACAACTCAAGGACACGCATCCCTACAACCAAAGGGAAACAGCTTTACAGTTTTGTTATTATTATTATTTTTTTTTCTCTTCTTTCTTTTCTTCAGTTTCCAATACTGGATGCTAAACCCAAAAATAGAACAGAAAAGTTCCTCTGACCCGGCCCTCCCTCCTTTGCAGCGGGGCAGCAGCCGTGTTTCGCAGGGGAGGTGTGTTGTGCCTTGGCCACTCAAGGCCACTGCTTTTAAAAGGGAGCCGTGGGTCCTGCTGCACACAGAGGTGCATCGGGCGGCTCGGCGGCTGCTCTGGGTGCAGTGGAACAAGGAGGATGAAGGCGATTCTCGGGGTGCTGCTTCCATACCTGGTGCTGCTGCTGCTCCGCTCCGCAGCTCTGCCGAGAAAAGGGAGCCATGGAGCAGAAGCTGTGCTGGGGCAGAGCCTCTCAGAGGAGGTGGAACTTGGAGCAAAGAAGGAAAATGTGAGCAGAGCGCGACCCGGCTCGGCGGTGAGACTGAAGATGGCTGCGGCTTCTCGCCTCCTCCCTGAGTCTGCAGCAAGCTGCACACAGGCCGACGGCTCCAGCTTGCAGCCCTGGCCCCTGGGGGGGCTGGAGGGCCCCGTGTGCCGCCTGAAGATGGACCGCAGTGAGGTCCACCCATCCCACGTCGAGGTGGTGGGGGTCCTCACCCGCTACGAAAGCACCTTCATCAAGGTGCTGCGCGCCGGCTGGAAGCACTGCAGCCCCGAGACCTTTGGGCTGTGCCCGGGTGGAGATGCACAAAGTGTGCTCCGAGCGCTGCAGCAGCTCCAGGAGCACCTGGCAGGGCCGGGGACGGGGCTGCAGAGATTCCTTGTCCTGCATCTGGAGGAAGGTAGGAGCTGGAGGGTCGTGGTGTGGGGAAGGCCAGTGCTATCGATGGGCCTGAGATGGAGGTGTGGGTGAAGAGTTGGATTTGCAGGTTGGGTTTGCTTTAAGATAAAGCTGTCCAATAGATCCTCTCCTCATGTATGTGTGTCAGAAGCTTTCATAGCACTGAGAGCCTGCGTGCAATGAACAACCAGCGCCGCAAAATCAGCCGGTTCTGCACTGCTCAGTTTGGTTCTGGAGCAGCAGCATTTCTCCCTTACTGTCCCAGTCATTGAAGTTTCATTCTATTCTATCCAACTGGGAAAAAAAACAACAGTGGTGCTCGGGGATTCCCCACCAAATGGACCGTGCTGCCCTCCATCACCTGAAGCACTCATAGTTTGCCACTGCTCTGAGTGATGTGAGGAGCAGTGCTCAGCCCCTGAGCGCCTTCCTCTCCCTTTGCACTGTTACGGCTGCATGCTTCACCCACCCTGTTCTCTCTTTGCAGTGAAATGGGAAGCACAGGCCAGGCTCTGGTTCAGGCTGCCGTTCCATGTGGAGGTGGGGCAGGTGCTGGGAGAGCTGCAGGTCGCTCTGCTGCTGTTCTACCCGGGCAGCCCCACAGGGAGAGGGGCTGAGGGCCGCCAGGAGCTGCTGGTGGAGGGCATGGGGCTGACACAGGAGCAGGTGGGTGACCTTGGGAGGCAGGGGGAGAGAGGGGACCTTGGCTCTGCTTGCCCAGCAGCTTCCCATCTCCTTCCCTCCCCATCCCCTTCCAGCACTTATCCCATCCTATTCCTTTCCAGCATCTTTCCCATTTCCTTCTAGAGGTTTGCTCATCCCCTTCCCTTTCCTTCCCTTCCCTTCCCTTCCCTTCCCTTCCCTTCCCTTCCCTTCCCTCCCCTCCCTTCCCTTTCCCTTCCCTCCCCACCCCCTCCCAAAGGTCTCTCTATCCCATCCTCTCCCTTTGTCTTCCCCACCCCATCCCAGTACTTTTCCCACACCCTCTCTCCCACTGGGGCAGTCCGGGCAGAGCAGTTCCTGAAGATGGTGCTGTTACCCTGTCCCCAAGCTGCTGCCAGGGACAAAGGAACAACACCGAGGGGTGCTCAGCCCAAACTGGAGGTGCTCATCCCATGCTCTGGGGGGGCACAGCTGCCCCCATGCCCTGCTCCCTTCCCTCCCTGTTCTCCCCAGCCTGAGACCAGTTCGAGAGCCTCCTAACTCCATACCTTGGGCTGGATCAGTGCCTGGGTGCTTGGGAAACAGGGACTGGTCTGTAGAGGGGTCTTGCTGACCCCCGTGATGCCTCCTGCGGGATCTCAGGGGCTCTTGTGCCTTTTGCTCCCCACAGAGCCTTTGCTTCACTAGGGATACCCAGTACCTGCTCCTCAGAGCCTCGGTGGCTGCTGTGACCAGCAGCAGCAAGGAGCTGAGCTTCCAGGTGTCCCTGACCATCAGGCAACGCGGGGATGGAGGTAGGTTTGGGGACAGCCCACGGGAACAGTGGTGCTGATGGCTGAGTGCTGGGGACCTGGCAGTGATGAGGGACTGGGGGGGTCCTGCAGCACTGTCCCCACTGTGTCCCCATCTCCAGGTGCCCCTCTGTCCCTCATGGAGACCCAGCAGCTCCTCTTTGGCTCCGATGAGAAGTGTTTCACCAGGATGACGCCGGTGCTGCTCCTGCTGGCTGGGTCAACACCTGAGAATGATGCTGCAGCTCCTTCCTCCTATCTCTCTGCCAGTGGGATGGTGGATGTGGCTCCCTACCCACAGCTCAGGTCTGTGCGTGGAAAACCATGAGGGGAAAGGGGAAAAGGGCACTGTAGTCCCCCTTGTCCCGTCCCTTGGACCCTGGTTGGGAAGATGCATGGCACACCAAGGTGGTTTGGAGTGCTGTGCCCCAGTCCTTTACACCACTGCGTTCTGTGTTCTCCCCACAGCCCACCCCATCCTGGCACCGCAGGGCTGCCACCCTCCACCACTGCCATCCCAGCCAACACCACATCCCCAACGGCAGGGGACAGCGGGCAGTTCCTGGGTGTGCTGACCCTCTTCATCCGCCGGGTGCTGAGCCCCCGCAGCGAGCCGCCCACCCAGCCCAGCTCCCAGCACTGGTTGGACTTCCAGATGATGGAGACGCTCCCGCACCAACTGCTCAACCTGTCGGAGACGGCCGCCCTGGAGCGCCTGGTGCAGTCAGAGGAGCCCTCGGTGCTGCTTTTCCCCCAGGAAGGCGGCGTGGGGCTGGAGCAGCATTTTGGGGACTGGCAGCCCGAGGGGACGGTGCTGCAGCTGCTGATGGGCAAACTGCAGGCTGTGATCCATGAGCTGAGGGACATCCCGGAATTCCAAGCCAACACAGGGCTCTTCCAGCACCTCCTGAGCTTCTGCTACCAACCTGCAGGGCCGGCTGCGGGCGGGCAGCCCCCAGGTTCGGGGAAGCTGCACGCATTGCTGCTGCTGAAGGCGCTGCAAACGGTGCGGGCGCGTTGGCAGGAGAGGAGGAAAGTCCTGCGGCAAAACCGCAGCGCGCGGCACCAGGCGCACTGCCGGCTGCAGGAGCTGACCATCGACCTGCGCGACCGCAACTTCATCGTCATGCCCACCGTCTACGCGGCCAACAACTGCGAGGGGCCCTGCAAGCTGCCCCTCTCCACCCGCGTGCCCGGCTACCACTCGCACACCGTGCTGCTGCTGGGCATGCAGGAGCGGGGCTCGCCGCTGCAGCGCGCTCCATGCTGCGTGCCCGTCCGTTACTCGGACCAGCTCATCATCAGCGTCTCGGCCGACGGGTTGGAGGTGCGCAAGTTCCCCAACATGGTGGCGGAGGAGTGCGGCTGTCGGTAGAGGTTCCCACCTGCAGCCCTCGTGCGGTGCTCCTGGCTGGGATGGGAGCATCCCTCCGAGCGCCTCTTCCTCCTGGTTTGCCTCCTAGTGTTGCTCTGGTTCTGTTTTTGTTCTGTGGGGTTGTGCTGCCCTACAGTGACCCATGGCTGCGCCCATCCCTGAGCCCTTGGGGGCAAAACCCCCGGTTCCACTCTGCTGTTCCATGGGGTCCCGTCCCCACACTTGGCCATGGCAATGGCTGCGGTGCTGGGCTTGCTGCTGGGTGCTGCTGTGCTGCTCCACGCTGTCACCGCTCCCCAGAGCACGGCAGATCCCATGACATGTCTTAACATTAATAGTGTTAATGACATCAGCAGACAGAGCCCGGCTGCCCTGTGCCAGCTCCCAGCTGAGCTCCATGGAACCCCACCACCAGGCTGAGCCCCTGTGACAGGGGCACAGCCCCCCACCCCCTCTGTCTTTGCTGTGCGTTCTCTCTTCACAACACACAAACGTATCCAGAAACATGGTATATATATATATATATTTTAAGACATTTAATACCTTCTTAAAAATGAACATCGGTTTGTTTTAACCACTACTGGTTTAGCGAATACTGAAACCCGCTGCAGTCGGAGTCTCCTGCAGTTGCTGCAGCACTGTGTGGTGATGCTCGTGTGCTTTCTCCCTAAAAGCAGCTCTGCGGGGCAGGACCTGAGCTCTGGTTCTGAAGCTTTGGGCCCCCTGCACTGGGGCCACGTGTCCACGCTCCGAGGGCAGCCTGGCTTCCTTCACCCAGAATGCACTTCTCTCTTTGATTTGTTTTTTCAATAAAATCATTCACTGAATTAAAGAGCTACCAGGGCTGCAGACCCCTGTGTTTGCCAGGAGTGCATCCTTGCTCCTTAGGTGTCAGCATGGGAGACAATGAGCTGCTGCTGCAGCTGGGGATGGAGGGTGGCACGAAGCCCAGGGGGAGCAGAGCTCATTTCCATGCTCCCTATGGGCTGCCTTCATCCTGGGGAGTCCTAGAGTCCCCACAGAGGCTCATGCTGGGCTGGGTGGCCAATGTCCCCACAGGCATGGCAGGACCCCAACGTCCCCGTTGGCAAAGCAGAACGCAGTGTCACCATGGGAACAGCAGGATCAGTCACTCGTGGGCACAGATGAATCCCATCATCAGAGCAGGACCCCAGTGTCTCAATGGGCACAGCAGACCCCAGTGTCCCCATCAGCACAGCAGTGCCCCTTTGTCCCCATGGGCACAGCAGATCCCAGTGTCCCCATCAGCAGAGCAGGACCCCAATGTCTCCATTGGCACAGCAGGTCCCAATGTCCCATGGGTACAGCAGGACCCCAGTGTCCCCACTTTGCTTGCAGCCACCCTGGCTATGGGGACAAAGGCTGAAGGCGTGGTGGCAGCAGGGGGGTCCAGCAGACAGATGGTGGCCGTGTATCCGTGGGGCCGGGCCCAGTCGGTCCCTCGCAGCCTTCAGTCACGCCGCCGGCCCTCTCGCGCCCTGTCCCTCCCCGATGGCTCCCCGGCCCTCCTGCCCCGCTGCTCGCCCCGTGGCAGCCCCCAGTTCCTCCGGCTGCTCTCCTGCCGCTCGGCTCTGCCCGCTCTGCCCTTGCTTCCATCCCTGCGCTGCTCATCCTTCTCCCGCCGGCTCTCCTTCCCCTCACGGCGTCTCCTCTTGTGTTGCTGCTGCTCGGGCTCTCTGTGCGCCCGGGGGGCTCTGGGGGGCTTCTCCTCAGGACTCCTGTCCTTGGGACGCGGCTCCCGACGGCTGCTCCTCTCAGCTGGGGCTGCGCGGCCCTCCTTGGGTCTCTCCTCCTTCTTTGGGCCACGCGGTCTCTCCTCCTTCTTCTCTTCCTTCTCCTCTTCCTCCTTCTCCTCCTCCTCCTTCTCCTCCTCCTTCTTTTCCTTCTTCTCTTCTTTCTTTTCTTCCTTCTTCTCCTCCTTCTTTTCTTTCTTCTCTTCCTTCTCCTCCTTCTTCTCTTCCTCCTTCTCCTCCTTTCTCTCCTCCTTCTCTGGGCCTCGGGTTTTCTCCTCCTTCTCCGGACCTCGGGTCTTCTCCTCTTTCTTCTCTGGGCCCCGTGGTTTCTCCTGGACCTTCCTCAGCTCCACTTTGGCTGTTGGCTCCTGAGGTTTCTCTGTGGGCTCTTCCTCCTCTTCTCCAGGCTCTTCCTCATGTCCTGGCTCCGAGCGGCCAAACCACTTCTTGAAGATCCAGGGCTCGGCCTGGGAGATAGCGGTGTCACACACTTCATGCCCTCTCCATCCCTCCCATGGAGGACCACAGAGCCATTCCGGTTGGAAAAGACCTCTCAGATCCCCAAACCTGACCCCTGCCTACACCCACCATGCCCACTGACCATGACCCCAAGTGCCACATCTCCATGGTTCTTTAACACCTCCAGGGCCCATGATCTCCTCTGCACCAGAGGATGCTGTCCCCCCACCTTCAGCCCCATACCAGGTTGCTGTCTGCTTCGTCATCATCGTCACCGTCATCGTCACCATCGTCATCCTCCGGTATGCTGCTCTCAGGCGGGACGGGCTGTGGAGCCACCACCTCTGGGACCTCCTCCTTGGGGATAATGACCTCTGGGGATGGAGAGCAATGAGCCACAACCCAAGCCCTACCCTACCCCTAACCCTAAAACCCCAGCAGCCCCTTGTGGAACCCACCCAGCTCTGAACTCACCATGGATGGGAGCTGCTGGGGGCTCTTGCTTGCCACTGCTGACACCGTCCCTGGGGCATGGTGGAGCTGGAAGAGAAGAGGGGAAAGAGGGCAGGGGGTGGAGGTGGCAATGTTGAGGTGCAGCCGTCCTGGCAGCACAGGGACAGCGCTCACCTTGGAGCACCTGGAAGCTGACGCTGAGCAGGGCGACGATGGAGGCCACCAGGATGCACTTGTTGAGGGTGAGCCCTTCCCAGATGAGTGGCTCCTCCGTGGGGTCCAGGCTGTGGGGCTCCACTTTTGCTTTCACAGGAAGGCTCTTGGGGACTGGGAACCCAAAGGAACTCAGAATTACCAGAGGTGGACCCTGACACCCCCTGTGCAGCCTCACAAGGGTTGCATCAAGTCCCGTGGGGTTCATAGTGCAGAAATGGGGGGTTCCATCCCCAACCCATCACCAGATGGTGCCCGTGGGCTGCCTGGGGACATGGGACAGTGGGGCAGTGTTGGGGTTGATGAGGATTTTCCATGCACTCCTACCTGCAGGCACCGTGGCGCTGCCCTTTGCTCCCACCTTCTCTGCACTTTTCTCTCGCTTCTTTTCCGTGCTGTGCGACGTCGGCTCAGGCATGCTCAGCTCAGGGACGTCCAACTGCTGCTCAGGGACACCACACCGGGTCCCCACCTCCTTTAGGCCCTGTGCAAACAGGAGCAAACGTGGGTGCATGCACAAGGTCAGGTGGGATGGGGGTCAGCTGCGTGAACCCTCCTAGAGCCAGAGCCAGAGATGCTGAATGAAGCTGGGGATGAGCGGATGGAACCAGCCCCTGTTTGCAGTCCTGGTGGCTACTAGGGCCAGGCTGGAGCTTTGCTAGCTCCTCCCTGGTGCCTGTGTCTGTATCTCTGAGCACGTTGGGATTTGATTATCTGCTAAGATGGTTTTCACCACTAGCTGGCTCCTTGCTGCAGTGTTGGGCTGCGCCTGAGCAATCCCAACCCTTGTGGGATCCGCCAGATGGGCCCCACTATGGGGACAATGCCTGGGGTCTGGGTTCGGTGCTGGCTGCCTGCTGCCCTGTGTCACAGTGCTGGATTGGTGCCACAAGTGAGAACTGCCACTCAGTGACAGCAACAGCTGGGCCATGAGGGCTGTGCTTCCTGCTCCCAAACTCTGCAGGAGGGACCTCTCTGCTTCCCAACCTGCAAACCTCTCCAGGGTGTGCACCTGAGGATGCCCAAACGCTGACACCAGGGCAGGATGCAGATCCCAGCCCACCACCACTACCAGCTCCTGAGGGTGGTGCACTCCATGTCAGGTGGATTGTTTTGTGCTGTTCCATGCAGGCTGGGAACAGAGCAGCCCCTGGGCCATATACCACAACCCTACACAGACGCAGGGACTATGCCCCTCATCCCCAGTTCAGGAGCTGGCCTCACCCCTTGGCTGAGTCGGCGAAGGTTTTTTCCCAGTAACCCTCTCCATGACCCTTTGTAAGCCCTGATCCCACGACAGGAGGGTCTCAACTCTTGTCCAAACCCACCAGGTTGCAAGGTGGAACCACAGGTGTCAGGGTCCCAATCCTGTCCTGCACCCAGTTTAATCACTGAAGCATCCAGTCTTCATCACAGTTGGTGCAAATGGGAACTGAGACACCACCTCCCTGTCCCGATGACGGACCCAAAGGCACCAGCACACTTACAATCTATGGCTCTCCCCACCGCTGCTCCCCGGCACATCAGCACCTGCAGAAGACAAGCAGAGCGTGGCACTCAGTAGGATGCTCACCTTCCTGGGCGAGATGAGGGGGACAGTGGCCTCTGTGCCATCACCCACATGGGGACAATCAGCCTGGTGGGCACAACATCACCCCAAAAGCACCACCCCAAGGCCGTGGGCTTCCGGGATCTGCACATCCCATCCATCATCGGGAAGAGGAATTTCTGCCCCATCTGAGCCAGATTTAGTTTATTTTTCCCTGGTGGAACAATGAATGCTGAGAAAAAAAAGCACCAATTCCCAGGCTGGAATCTAAAACACGACATTGGAACACAAATAATGATGAGCAAACTTGGTGGCTGAGAAGCAATGGCTTGAAAGATCTTGGCTTTCGACATGGCATCAAAACAAGACTTCTGGTTCTGTTTTAGTTACCTCAGTCAAGGCAAGCTGGCCTGTGCTCCCCTGAGAAGCAGAGCATCTATTGCCCAGAATTGGATTTTGGGGGTCCCTCCCCAAGCTCGTGAAGTCTTCTCCATGGTGAGGCGACGGGAGCGTGGAGGTGGTAAGCGTGGTCCCCAGGGTTCATACTGGATTATCTCTAAAGCCAGTGCCCCAGGCACGCAGCCACTGCCCAGCAGAGCATGGCAAAGACAGCCACGTGGCAGGGACAGCCGTGTGGGACAGGGACGGCCACATGGCATAGGGACATCCACACGGCAAGGATGGCCACATGGTAGGCATGACCACCAATGCCAGGGCTGCCACCACACAGCCCATTTCCAGCCCTCATCTTGCAGTGACTCCTCTAAGGGGGTAAGGCTACCTCGTGCATGAATGCTGCATCCTCTCCCACGTGCTCCGCACTCCAGGTCTTTTCAACACACACAGTTATGGCCACAGATGAAACGTGGCCCCGTTTTGCTGTTGCCTGGACTTTTCCTGAGCAAGCCCAAGTTGTGAGAGCCCGCGGTTGCTAACTCATGTCAAAGAAATGGCCAAAAATAGCCCCTTGCCCGCCCTGCCATCCCTGAGCACACTCACATGGCCACATCAGGATGGGTCCCATTGCCCTCATTGTGCCCGTGGCCAGCACGGCACCACATCCCCCTGGCCGTGTGTTGGGCTGCTGCCCACCCTGATTCAATAAAAAAGGAGAAAATCAACACAAAGCCATACCTCAGGCTGAGCACAGCCGCCTCGCCTCCAGCCTGCGGTCCAGTACAGGCAGTGTGCAGTAATGTACAGCAACAGCTGCTCCTGCACCGAGCAAAATAGCACCCAATCACCGGGGGCTGCAGCGCCCAGAGCTGCCCCCCCAGAAAAGGCAGAGTGGCACAGGGCTGACCCCAAACCTGGGGCTGTGGCTCTGCTCCCTGAGTGCATCCCAGCGGTGGGGCTGCAAGGGGATGGGGTATCCCCTTTTTGGGCAGCAGGAAAGGAAAAGCAGCTCTGCTGGTGGGGACAGCCTCAGGTAGGAGCCCGCCCTCCCAGTGTGTCCCCATTGAAGTGGCACCACGTGGCATGTGTCGTGTCCTGCCTTGAGGACACCTCTTCGGATGTTGCTCTGGAAGGGAGAAGGGCTGAGAACCCAAAGCTGCAACACGTCGTTTTGCAGCACTGACATTTGCCTTCAGCACAGGTTTGATATTTCATCCATTGCAGGATTCACAGGAGGGACAAACCAGACACCAGCACCTCTGGAGCCCCAGACAGCAGGAGCCGATCCCAAACAGAGCTCCAGGGCTCCGCAGCCAGATTGAAGCCACGCGGTCTGTTTCCTATTAACAGAATTAAAAACAACTTACAGAGCATTTTTTCCCCCTAACATCACTTCAGCTTGACGCAGCTCTGTTTTCCTGACGCCGCGATGATGGATGGCATGGGCTGGCCCCTGCCCAAGCTTGGAGGACTCCCAGGGTTTTATGCACATTGGGACAGGGAGGAAACCTGCACGGTGCCCAGCATGAAGGCTCGCCCTCCTCATCCTCTGCCTGGGGAGCTCCTATATACCCCAAAAAGGATAACTAGCATCCTCCTCCTGCATGCTGGGAGCACTCTTGGCCACGGGGCGTCAGCCCACGGTCCTGCTTTAGGACCACGCAGCAGACAGGAGCAGCCGTCTGCTTTCCAGGGCAGGGATTTCCCGGCTCTGGCAGAGGCAGGGCTGAGCACGCAGTGAACCCTACTGCAGTATAAATAACCTTCTGCCGAAGCCGAGCCCAGATGGAGGAGAGCTGTGCCGTAAACAAAGCCCTCCCCAACGCGCCAGGGCTGCGGGCGCGTGCCAAGGGTATATTTCTGTTTTATTCCCACTCCAGTAGGGTCAGGGAGTTAGCTGGCGAGGCACGCTTGCTTTATAGGGGCAAAGTGAAAGCAGAGCTGAATAACAACCCCTTCTGCTCCCAGCTGTGTTTCATGTGGGGCTCGCAGGTCTGTCAGCTTGCTGTGTTCTCCTGATGTCAAACTCATCCTCCCAGGACACGCATGCAGAGCCCAAGCAAAACTTCTTCCCACTCATCTTGGTGTGGGACCGTGGGACAGGGACTCTCCTGCACATTCAGGGCCTTCTCAGCTTGTTTCTTGCAGCATGAAAGGGACCAAGAGGTGTTTCATCCCCAGTGTTCAGTTCTAACTCAGGCAGACGGAGGAAGGAAATACCCAGAGGTAAAATCTTTCCTAATCCCTTGACTTCCCCACCAAATCCCAGCTTTTCCCTTGCCCTGAGGCTCAGAAAAGGGGTTTTGGTTGGTACCCAAGACCCAGCTTCCAGTTGTGCCGCAGCAGCCCTGTGCTTCTATAGCAACGCTCTTCCATCTTCCCAGTGGGATGTAATCTCCTTCCTCTCCATCCTTAATAACTTGTGCTTAAAAGACAGCTGCTAAGACATGAGGTTGGCCCCCCGTTATCTTCAGACTTGGGTTTAAGGGAAGTTGATGTTGTCTGTAGTCAGAACTGAAGGACCACGTGGTCTGTGAGTGCAGCCAGCGTCGTCCCCGCATCGTGCCCTCGCACAGCCATGGGGTGATGCAAACAAATGGACACCATCTTCATCAGGGAGTGCTTGAGAAGTTACAGGAAGCAAAGAGACGTTTTCTGTCTGCCAGCTGTGCCTCTCCCGTCAAATCACACTTCTCTCATCACCGATGATTTGAGATGAATCAAGGCGAGCAATCTCCTTGTCTCGGTGCCATTAATTGGAAGCCCGCAGCGTTTTGGAAGCAAGATGTTCCTGTGGCTTTGTGCCACCAGGTGTTACTGTGGGATTGGGTAATGCTTCCCGACACGGAGAGATCCAGTGAGAAATGGAGCATCCTAAGCACAAGCTGATGCCCACGGCTGGTACCAAATGGGCCCCTCTGCCCTCAGTGATCTCATATGATCCAGAGCAGCTCTGCGCTGTCTGATCGCACCCTAATCCACGTGTGACCTAAATACTCCGATTTATGAATCCCAGAGGTTTTCACTCCATTTGCCTGGCAGAAGGAGCAGCATTCAGGTCAGCTGGAACACGAGGTGCCAGATCCCATTAAATGCCACTTTTAGTCTCAGCTTCATTTGATAATTGTTCCATTATACGTTTTCTCACAGCTCAGTGCTGCTTGGGGCTAATCGTTATTCTCTTTGAAGACTCCAAGCCATCTGTAGCTCTGAGTAAAGCATGAGCAAGCAACTGCTGGGACACGACATCCCAAACAAAACATCCTTGAAGGTGCTGCTGGTGACAGGGACAGGTCCCACCAGACACCTCATCCATGCCATGGAATAAGGAACAGCACCATGTGGTGCTGGTGGGACCAGGAACTCATTTCAAGAGCAACCAGCTGTTCCCCATTTCTCCTTTCCTTTATTAGATAAGAAATTCCAAGTTAAAAGTCAGCAGAGTTCAGAAATCACATGCAAATCTCACGTGCCAGGCTGTGCTCTCCTGCCTGCTCACTGCTTGTTTCTTTGTTTCTCTGTGATAGTGGAAGAAGGCTGGAAAGGCTTGATTTCCACTTTCTTTGGCATCAGAAAGGACCATGATCATAGAACCATGGATGATTTGGGTTGGAAGGGGCCTTAAAAATCACAGAACCATATAATATGGTTGAGTTGTAAGGGATCTCAAAGATCATGGAACCACAGAATGGTTGGTTTGGGTTGGAAGGGGCCTTAAAGGTCATGGAACCACAGGCTCCATCCCACATAGCTGCCTCTGAAGGGACCTGCATGACCTCCAGCTGAGGTTGAAGTGCTGCAGTGGCTTTTATGCTGTTTTCTCCCCAGTGTAGCACAGTAACATGACTAGCAGGGCTTGCACTGACCACAAACCCTTCTCTTTTCACCCCAGAGGAGCCAATCCATCTCAGCATCCCACCTGCAGCTAGGGATAGCTTAGGTTGGGCTCCATCTCAGGAAGAAAACCCACAGCACAGAAGCCAGGAGTGGGGTTTTGGCCACGGCAGGACCTTGAGGCTCCCCACAACAGGAGATGGATGCACAGAGCCCATCCCAACCACAAGGTTCCTGGCATTGTTGCTGTGTTTGAAGCATGGCTGCCCTCGAGTGGTGCCTCAGGAGCACAAAGGATCCCTGAAGGGATGCACGTCCACACCACGGCTCAAGGATTCCATCCCTTCTGTCCCTCCTCCTGGCCCCATATGTGCGGTGGGGGAGCAGAGCCAGCTGAGGCTTCTTGCTGTGTATTTTTTTTTCCTGTTCTAGGAAAACACAAACAACAGCCTGAAGGAATTTCCTCCTCCAGCCCTGAGTCAGGCCCCAAATTGGCTGCTTGAAATCGCGAGGGTTTTTTTTTCATAGGAAGTAGTGCAGCAGCACTGGGCACAGCAGTCCCCATCTCTGAGCCCATCACGAGGCAGTGCTGGGCAGTCCTGGGGGAAGGCGGGCAGCTGGACTGGGTGTTCTTAGAAGTCTTTTCCAACCCTAATGATTCTGTGATTCTAACGATGACTTATTCTTGAGATCTGGGGATTTTAAGAGCAAAAGAGAGACAAGCAGAAGGCACTACTCTTTAATCACCTGTTTCCCTGCAGAGAGTGGGGTGAGCACCTCCCCATGCCCATCCTCAGTCTCATGTAGCACCTGATGAACCCCACGCCACCCTGAATCCGGGTGACAATGACCCCCAGCATCTTGCTGGTCCCTTCTGCCTCTGCACCTGCACAGTGCTTTGATCGATAGCCAGGTGCTGTAGGACTGCTGAGATCAGAGCAGCAGCTCTCACCATTAATGTGTGCAGCAGCCATCCCCAAATGCTCCCAAACTGCACCACTGCCACCATTGGGCTGTTTTCCATTTACCAGGACAAGAAGAAGAAGATGTGAAGGCCCGGTAGGGAATAAGCAAGAGAATGAAAGAGTCCAGTGAAACAGTGAAACAGCCCATGCCAGGACTACACCGCTCAGTTCTGTGTTTTGTGCTGAGAGGTGGATGATCTCATCGGGGAGGAATCAAAGGCAGCACAGCAGCGTGCAGGTGGATGAGCAGTGCAGCCAGGCTGGGAGGTAAGGACAAGATGGGGCAGGTTGTGGTGTGGGGCAGAGCCCGGCTCCGGCTGCAGGGCAATGCGCTGCTGCGTGGGAATTTCTTTCCATGTCACAAGGGGAGGAGAAAGGGTGAATAACTGCTCCACGGCAGCTCCAAGAAGTGAACAATTTCCCAAGAATAAAGGTTAAAATCCCAGGTGCTGCATGGAAGGGCACCCTGTGAATAGGGCTAACAAGGCAGAGCAGTGGGAAAAACGGAGCAGAGGTTTCTCATCCCTACCTCCACCACCTCCATGTGTCCCTCCCTGTTCCCCAGCACTGCCACCAGCACAGCCCTGCTGTGTCCTGCTCACCTGCACTCCCTCCTGCACCCAAGCATCCTGCTGACATTTCTGCTACCATCCAGTTCTGCTGCTCCTGGTCAGTGCTTTCTGTGGTTGTTAGAAAGAAGATGGGGAGACAGCGTGATCATCTACGCTTTGTTTCTTTACAATAAGACCAAGGCTCCCCTCTAGTAGCCCATGTGCAACAGGAGGCAGTCAGTGAGCCAGTGCTGTGCAGGGAGCTCAGAGGCACTGTGGGTACAGCTGTGCAAATGTCAGCGCAGGGCTTACAGCAGCAAAAAGGCATCCTAGGGGATTGCTGCAAACGGTGCAGAGATGATGCTAGAAAAAAAGCAGCCTGTGCATGCAGAAATCCCGCTGTGCACCTACATCTTGAAACAGCACTGGTCATCCTGTGTCAGAAAAGATACAGGAATGCAAAGAAAGAGGGCTGGCGGTGCATGGGGTGAGGAGTGAGGCCCGAGTCTGCACATCAAAACATATTTCCCATCAATCACCCCATGGAGGCTTTTCATTCTGCATGTGGTGTGACTCATGAGGAACCTGTAATGTTTAATTAGAGGGGAGAGACTGATCCTGCTGTGAAACACTTCCAGATCCCACACCAAGCTCCTCACTGACTTAATTTATGGGATGCAAACAGGACAGAAAATGGTGTAATGGGAGAAGTCGTGTAGCTTTGTCGACCTTGGGGTTCAACAGCTGTTCCAAAGAAGGGTGATTTACAGATGAAATGAGATGCAACCAGCAGTGAACCCAATGGGGAGACCCAGCCTGTGTCCTGCTCCCTGCCCTCTGCCTCCTGGCATGAAGGTCACCCCTTTATCTACCCATGAGATCCCTCTTTGGCTTCGATTACGTGTGACCCAACCCTAGATGTCAAATTTACGGCTGGTGACAAGGCCATAAATCCTGACTGGCCTCCAGTGAGGGTGATAGGGTTACTCTGTACCCCCCAGCACCCTGCAGGGGGTCCCCCCAGGGGCTCTCACTATGTGCGTGCCCCATTCTGTGCCCTTTATCACTCTGCAGTGTTATTCATCAGGAAAAAATGCCGTGGGACTTCTCTCCTTCATGCTAACTGGTCCCATGACCTCAGTTTCATGATTCTTGATTTTGGAGTGCAGTAATTTCCAATAGCAAGAAGGGAGAGGCTCTAGCTCTAGGGAAGGGAAGGCTCTAGCTAAAGCTGTAAGGAGCAAGTGCTTGCCAAATAACTGATTGGGGTCTGCACATCTCCAACCCTGGGCTCCCTACGCCACATGGGTCAGCACAGCAGGGAATGGGGAGCTAAAAGCACAGAGACTTGCTGCTGGAGGCACCTTACCCAGTCCCTAAATAGAGCAGCTCTCCTTTTACAGAGAAAAGAAGGATGCGAGGAATTCAGAGCCAAGAAGGGAGAGGAGGTCACTGCACAGCTACGCGGGTTTGGCTGCTTTAAATATCGCTCCCTGCTGTCCTGTCCAGGGCTGGGAAGAGCAGAGAAGGCAGCAAAAGCCTGAGATCTCAAGGCAAAAAAGTGAAGAAATAGAGGGGGGCAGCAGGAGAGGCTCCTTGGTTGTACACGGAGGTGCCTCTAGCTTCCCTCCCTCTGCCCTCTGTGGGTTTTGCAACAGATCTGAATTTAGGTCCTAGGGAGAAAAAGCAATAGAGTGGCTCACATGGAACCTAGAGGCACCCTGCAGGCACCCTGACACCCCAAAGCTGAACACCCGTCTGCATCCCATCCCACCTGCCTCACGACACAAAAGGTCACCCCAGCTCCCTGCACGCACGAGGAGCTCCCAAAGCAGAAGAAAACCAATTGCAAAGGCAAAAACATATGCAAAAAAAGCCCAACCCAAGACTCTTGGGTGCAAAAAGAGCTGTGGCTGCCAGGAACACCTCTGTCTGAGGAACGCTTGCAGATAAGCACCAGGTGACACCCAGCTCCGTCCCGGCTGAGCAGAGAAGAGCTTGCAGCAGCAGTGCTCCGTGCACTCTTATCTCAGAAACATCACAGGGCCACGGCATGGTTTGGGTTGGGGGGGACCTTGGAGGTATCCAGTTCCAACCCAGCACCATGGGCAGAGACATCGCAGACTGAATCAGGTTGCTCCAAGCCCTGGCCCTGAGCACTGCCAGCTTCCAGTGATTTTGCTCCATGCATGCTTGCAATGATGCTACTCTGCGCCTGCTCACAGTGAGAGCGTTCGCTGAGCACCCTGGAGGAGTGCTGCTCTTTGCACAATTGAAGGGTACTGCTCTGTGCGAGCTCACAGCGATGCTGCTCTGCGCACGCCTGCAGCTTCCTCCAAAGGCAACAGCAGCCAATGGGCGGCTCGGTGAGGGGCAGAAATGCTTTCTGCTTAGAGACAGAACAGCAAAGAGACAACTTGTGCCAGATGGGAGCGGGGCTGCATTGCTGGGGTGGGGGGGCTCCTTGTTTCCTCTTCCTCCCCCAGTGACATTTAAATGGTCGCTCCCCAAACACTTTCTGCTTGCTGCGTGTTTTCCCAGCGACACAAAGCCCAGAGCCTTTCAGAATAAATCATTTAGAGGCAAGAAAAAAAAAAAAAAAGGAACAGCTCTGACCCCGCACGTACACACACTCCCCTCCTCCTCCGACCATGGTTTGGAGCCGCTCAAGCAAGAGGAAGAGTGAGCAGGAGTAATTTTCCATGGATGCAAGGAACAATGGAGCCCCGCGTGGTTTTTGCCGTTCAGAGGTTTCCCTCCAGCACTTTCTGCTCCTCTACAGCAGCAGACAAAGGCAGTGTGCATGCACAGACCGGCCCGGCCTCGCTGCACCCTGCGGTGCGAGGTGCGGGGTGATGGCGAGGAAACTCTGCACAGCACGTAGGGGATGTCTGAGTCAGTGCTGGGCAGGAGGGGAGAGCGGTTGGGGTGGCTCTGGTGTGCCAAAGAGATGCGTTGGTTTGGGGTTGGGGCTGTGGTTGGATGGTGGGGATGCTTCAGGGGAAAGCTACGGTACTTGGTGCTGGAGCATGAGGCTGGAGAGTCGGGGTGCCGAACCAAGCAAAGCCCCACCACAATCCTTCTCTCCATTCCTACTCAGGTCTTATGGGGAGTGGCTGAGGGGATGGAGCGGGACAGTCTGGGGAAGAGGAGGCTCAAGAGACCTCATTGCTCCCTACAGCTCCTGAAAGGAGATTGTAGTGAGGGGAAGTTGGCCTCTGCTCCAGGTAACAGCAATAGGATGAGAGGGGATGACCTCATATTGCACCAGGAGAGAGTCAGGCTGGGTATGGGGAACAACTTCTCCAAAGAGCGGAGAAGAATTGGCACAAGCTGCCCAGGGAGTGGTGGGGTCACCGTCAGAACTGTGTAGATGTGGCACTGAGGGACATGGCCAGTGGGCACGGTGGGATGCGCTGGAGTTCAGGATCTAAGAGGTCTTTTCCAACCTTCATGACTCTGTGATCCCTGACTCCTTTCCATCCTCACTGCTTTCAGAGACACACTCCTAGAATTGTCCCCATCCCCAAACCCAAACCTCCATGCAAGGAGGGAGGACATCACCTTCAAGCCCTCCAATGTCTCCTGCCCAGCGCCAAGCCTACACAGAGCACGCTGCCTTGGCCAACAGCACCCAAATAAGAGCATGACCCTTTGCACCCACCTCCGTGACCTGCAGAACAGCAGGAGCAGGGCTGAGGCTGCCCTTACACATCAAGCATTGTTTTTGAGCCCCTCTTGGTGCTTTGCTCCTGCTCTGCCGTGAGCAATGCTCCCTGCACCCACCACGCCTGGAAAGCTGCCCACAGCAAGCCTGGGGGCTGCAGGGTCCACGCAGCTCTGAGCACAAAGCAAGATGAAAAGCAACCAGTTTTTACTAAAAAAATATTTTCTAAGTTCCTCATCAAAGATGGGCACATGGAACCGAGGCAGGCTCAGGCCCAGACTGGTGGGAGACCTCCGAGCCACATTTTTGTGGTGCAGAATGAGGCTTTGCCAACCTCCTTCCACCCCAACGTTGCAGAGCCGGTGCTTCAGACCTGAGCTGGTTTGCAGCCCTCTGCCAGAGCACGGAAGAAAGCTTTCAGCTGAACATCAAAGCTGAGACCCAACGAAACCTCAGCAGCCAGTTCTGAGGCTGCAGCAGCCCTTTCATACAACACAACACAACACCAAAACCCCATTATCACACTTGTAACCTCCCAGGTGCACAAACCAGGCTTTTGGTCCCTGTGTGCTTGTTCTTTTTCACCTCCCACCACAACAGGCAGCAAACGAACAGCTGGGTTTTGCCTAAGAGGTGATGGCACTTAACATGGTCATGGGTTGATGCTTTACATCTGTAGCAGCAAAGGCGTAGGGAAGCTTCCCTGATAATCATCAAAACAAGGCAAAAGGAGGCGAGTGGGACCCCAGGATCACATGGGAACAGCATATCTGGGTTTGGCTTTGAAGGTGTCCTCTGGCCCTCCACCTCTGCGTGTTGCATCCCATTGGGAAGCTGAACCCTGCACCATGGGGAAGCCTCAGTTCTCAGTGTCTCCATAAAGCCAAGCTGAGGGCTCTCAGCATCTTCCCAGATGAAAAAATTAAAGCAGAGAAACAAGCTGCCATCCCTTGGATGCTGTGTGCCTTGAGACTGTTAACTTTGCAAAATATCATAATGAGCAGCGAGCTTGGAAAGCAACAACAATGGCTTATTTGGGAAGAAAATTGAGAACAGCTTGTTTTTCCTAATCTTACAGCTTCCTCCAAACAAATGGGTCACAGCTGTTATACCTGGGGGTCATGGAAAAAAGGTCTCAGCGCCGCTATGAGAAGCGTTTGGGCTGTGGAGAGAGAGTCTCTGTATCCTCCAGTGGGTCTGAACCAACCAAATAAGCTCAATCTGCTACTTGGAGCTGATGGCTTTGGGGTGGATTCCTTTGTAGTTAAAATTCAAAGAGTTTAACGGGTGGTGATGCAAACACTCACCCTTGTTGCATCCCACTGGTGCTGCTGGACAAAGCCTGAGCTGCAGCACGGGCAGCAGCAATGTCAATCTGCATCACCATGAGAGCACTGAAAAGAGAAAACCCAATTTTGAATAAATCAACATTTGATGGCCGTCTCTGCAACATTTCATGGGAAAAAAAGCATCCTCTTACCGCAGGGAAGAGTATTTCTGAGCTCATTTCAAATCCTAAAACCACAGTACATCCACCCAACAATACCAAGCAGCAAGACATCAGGAAGCCATTGAAAGAAAAGCTGAGTGCAATATAAAAGAGAACTACACATAACCATCACTGCCAAAGAATGATCTCCCAGGAATATTTTTAAAGGCAACAAAGAGGATTATCAGTGAGGTTTGAGGCAGATAAGGACAGATAATTGAGGCTCAAGAAAACATTTTGCTTATTCCAAAGGAACTCTGAGGTCAGTAGGATGAAAAGCCCAAAATAGTGCATTTTTTCTGTAGGAACTGAGGCTGGAGGAGCTTTACCTCCACACAGTTCTTCATCCCTGCCTCAGTTTCCCCACCCAGTGATACAGGGCAGCAGATGCAGCTGGGAACACCAAGGGAATAAGAAATTGCACATGAAGAAACCCAGCGCTGCGTGACAGCAGGGCACACTGCAAGCTGCATGCAACGTATTAAGATACAGCCAGCAACCAGCCCAAAATTAGCCAGAGAAATTGACCCAAGAGAGGACTGAGACAAACAGAAGCCACAGCGTCAGGGGCTAAAACACCCCAAATCCAAATTTTGGAAATACTCCTTGCCCAGACAGTTTATTTTCTGTAACAGCTGCTCCCTTTCTTTGCATGCACTCCTGAGCAGTAGGTTTTCCAATTAGTAAAAGTCACAGTAAGCAGGAAATGAAAGAAATCGGGTGACTGGTCCAATTAGAACAGTCGTGTCAAGGCTTCCTGTTTTCCTTATGGCACCTCTTTATCTCCCAGAACCTCGGTTCTATGGGAGGTACAGCACACACAGAGCACTGTGGTGGATGCAAGGACATGTCCAGGAGCTCTCATTAATGACAAGCAGGAGGCAGTGTAAGTTAATGTGTACCTAAGGCAGCTCCATCAGTGGAAACCTGTAGGAAAACTGGAATTCTGTTGGCATAATAGAGCTACCATCACTTTCGGACTTCCAAACAGGGTGAGGACACCCTGGGCTCGATGGCACATGCCATCGTGTGTCCTCACACTTGGGGTTTGGATGTCTGAAGATGGGCTCAGCAGTCTGAAATTCATGAGCATTTTTCATGCTTTACCAGCTGTCCCCAACCTGAGCTGCTGAGCATCCCGCTGAGCTGCCCGACGGTCGGCTGCAGCTCTGGGGGAATCGCTGACCAGCTCTGCACACACAGCCCTGAGTCAATATTGGTTCAACCACAGGAGCTCATGGATTGAAAGCACGAGGCTGCGTGAAGCTCAAACAAACAGGCTGGCAGGAGCACTGCCTGTCCCCTCCTGTGTCACTGATGTCACTGAGGGGCTGTGCTGGGTGCTGGCAGTGCTCCGAGCAGCTTTTGGGGTTATACCTGAAATAAAGCTGCAAGAACTAGATGTCTACAGCTGGAAGAGAGCCCATGTTGCCAGCTCTGCTGTGCTGAGGCCGTTCTTGAGCTGTTCCCAGCTGCAGCAAAGGGGCAAAGTGATTCCCCTAGCAGCAAAAGGACGAGCGTGGCACATAACTCATTGCAGGCGAAACAACCTTCCCTGCCCTCGAGGCTTGTTCATTTTATTTATGGGAAAATATGCTCGTTAATGCTCTTATCAAAGGAACGATCTAATCGGGGGGGAAAAGTCTCCTTTGAATATTTCCATTTTAATGAGCTGTTGGGCGAAATGTTTAGGCAGGCAGAACTGACTCTGAACTCGTTTCTGACGGAGCAGATTCTGCACAGGTCTTAACTCTCATCCTGCTGTTTGTTTGGATAACATTTCCAAACCAAATTACCAGTTACAAAAGCTGAGCTGCACGCACCGTGCGCTTCCCGGTCCCTGAGGCTGACTGATCCAAGCACAACAAGAGCTGATGGAAAATAAGCAATCCTGCCCAGCTCTTGCAACACAGAGGGTGTGAAAGCAGCCCTTCCTGGAAAGAAGCACCAGAACTGCTCTGCAAGAGAAAAGGGAAGTTAAGCAAAAACAAATCCAGCGTGCAAAGCTCCAGCAACCAAAGGGGTCAGAGGAGAAAGAAAGCGCTCACAGCAGAATGCCACTCCAAAAGGCAGGGTGCATGTGGGCAGATGGGGCTTGTTGTCTCCCCTCTGTGGATCTGCAATTTGGAAGAACCAGAATTTCATCATCTCTTGTTAATGTGGGGATGGAGAGGGCAAACCCTGCGAGCTCTGTTTGGCTCAAAGGAAACGAAACAGAAAATAGATCGTGGAAGGGAAGGTGCTGCAATGTCTTGCACTATATTCTTGTGCAACGACCTCTAAACACCTCATGACCATTTGCTCATCATTGGCAGCAGCACCCGGAGAAAAAAAAATAATCCAAAAATCAAGTAATTACTCTGAAATTACAGAGCCATAAGGACAAACTGCTCAAGCAGCTTCTCTCCCTGCCATGTTGAGGTGCTGTTCCTGACAGCCGCTGTGTCCCTGGCTGCTGCTCACTGCCACATGTCCCACTCTTGCTGCAAGCTGCTCCCCTCTGCATTATTTTTACAATAATTATTATAATTGTTTACAAAGAAACTAAACTGCAGTGCTTCTAAGCCTGATCCTGGTAACCTAGAGAAGAAAACTCATCACTACCGACACTATGTTAGTTTACACCCTTAAAACAAATAATGAGATTTTAAAGCATTTTAAGTGTCTTACCTCATCTGCATTCAATCTATAATCCTCTTCATAGTGGCTGTTATGAAGTGAGAATGCAGAGTTCCTAAGTTTCTTTGGTAGGAAGTGCAGACATTTGTTGTTTAATATCTCACCCAGATGTTGGAAAATAAGTTCTTCCCTGTGCTGGTGAACACTGAGGAATCCCAGCCTCACTTTGCAGTGGCACGCAGAATTTCCTCCAGCACAAGTGGGTCTGCAGAAAAGCTGACCTTCAAATCACATCATTCTCACAGTGAAGCCGATGAAAATGATAGAGAAAGTGTTCTAATTACATGGCCCACAAAGATGAGAATAGATTCTAACACACCAAAGAGCATAGCTAGTGGGGGAGTATTTAGAACTAGGTAACTGGGAGTTACCTGTATGAATCAGAACTAAGGAGGAGATGGATAGATTTAGTGGCCCCACTTTAGAAGACTTAGGTCTTATAAAGTTTAGAAATAACACCGCCTCGTATTTAGATAAACTCATGCTCACAACCTTATAAACTTGTGCTGTACTCTGTCTCCGCACAGAGCTGACCAAGACGAATGTTTAAATTATCCTGGGACAAAAAGAGGCTGAATTACAGGGTGGAGAAGTCATCACATAGACTGATTTCTGTGAAAACACAACATGACAGACATCTCTGCGTCATATTTTGTTCTGTTTTGGTGCCTGGCTGCATCTCCAGATAACTCTTAAAGCTGTAAGAGCAATGCCTGTATTGCTGGAACAGAGAGAATGAGGGCAACCAGAACAACTGGCTTTTATTCACTGGGATGCTTGAGTTATTAAAATGTTGGTTTTTTAATTACTTTTGGGGAGATATTCAGTGCGTAATGCTATGTAAGAACTGCACATGCTTTAAAAGAAAGCTCGTGTTTTTCTTTCTGTTGCACTTCCCTACTCAGCAAATCAGAGGCAGATCAATTCCCACAGCACTGCTCAATGTCAAAAACACCTCCTATCCCACACCCAAGAGGAGCTATGACAGCGTGATGCAGCTGAGCAGAATATATATGGGGTTTTCTGCTCTGTGCCCATTACCAATCTTTTCCATTCACCTCCAATGGAGCTTTGCTGCTACTCCAGCACACGCATGTGGGTGCAGCTCATTCCTCTCACCAACAGAAAACAACACAGAAAGATTAATGCTTGAATCCTAAGGGTGTTTGGGGATCTGTACAGCTTCCTATGCACTAGCTTTGTGTCACCTAATCACAAACTCACGCAAGCCTGAAAACAGACAATGAAGAGGAAATACATTTGGTTGCTGGTCTCATCCATTTCTTGCTCGAACATCTGCTTCTATCAGCTGCCAACTTTGACCTTGACTTCACTTATTCCTGTGCTGCCACAAACTCTTCTTCCATCCTAAGACATTCGGGAAAGTAGAAATAAAGAATCATTAACTGGGGATTCTGACTACTGTCTGGCATCTCTCTTATAAAAAGAAACTGAAAAACATGCTGGAATGAGGTTAAAAAAAAAAAAAAAAAAGGCAAATTTCTGGAAAATAAAACTCTTGTTTTCCTCACCCTGAAGCTACTCAAATTCAGACTCCTGATCTGGAGTGCAGCATCATCGCCCCTCCTGTACTTTCTCTCTTAACAGATCTGGTTATTTAATAACTCAGACTGTACAGAGTATTTTCCCAGCTGACTTTACAGCCTAATTGCTATGACCTGTTTGTGTAAGACACAGAACTGGGACTCGCTGTGTGCTCTCCTCCAATGAGTTCAGCAAAGCAGTTCAGAACTGCTGCAAACCAACTGCCCCAGGCTGCCTGCTGCACCTCCAGCCCTGAGACTGTTCTGTTCCTTTGAAACGTGTCTTGGAGAAGCAGTATTTAGAGCCAGTGGAATAAAGAGGCCACTGCAAAGGACTTGGGATGAACCCATCTGGCCTCTGGGTTGAAAGCTGCTGTGCCCCAGCAGTCATGGACGCCTGCACATCAGCTGTCTGGGTTCACTGCCCAGTTATTAGATAACCTAGGGATGAGATGGGCTTGGCCAGAGATGCCAAATGGGAATGTGACTGGAGCAGCTAATTCTGCCTGCTCTGCTACAGGAGGGTAATGATGGCAAAACAGTGGTAAAAAACAGCTGGGGATGGCAACATCTCAAAGTGCCTCAGCTGCTAATCCTGAAATTCTGAGTCAGAGCCTTCTCTGTGAGGATGCATGAATCATTGTCGCTGCTAAACTGGAAGAGTCAGGCTATCTCAGCAAAATTGCAGCTGGAACTAATCTCATTCAATATTTAAAAAGAAAACAGGTTGATTGGGCTTTTTGCACACTGCAGAACACTGGTGTTATCCAGGTCACTCAGCTGTAAAATGGAATGAGGGCCCACTGAGATGACAGGTATCCAGCGAGCAAAGCTGTTTCCAGTGCCACAATAAAGCAGGGAGCAGCTGTGAAGATGAAGCCCTTTGAGATTGTGCCATTATCAGGAATTACAGTCGGATTACTACATAAATAATAAGCACCATTATTAGAAATAATGAAACCTAAAACAAAACGCTAAGGCAGCCTAATAGATCCACCCCTCCATTCAGGAAAGCCTTGCTAAAACAACACACAAAACGTGAATTGCCAAATCTTCTCTGATGCGCTTCATTTGCTCCCAATTTTCCCGAGTCGCAGCTATCCTATTGTTTCAAGTTGGTCTCTGGGTAATACATTAAATGGCAATCAGCTTCCCGTCCATAAATCAACGTGTAGAAAGCAGGATGAAAGCACTCATACCACAGTTATTCTGTATTCCGGGAGCTAAGAGCAGCTACCTGCAGCAGGAAAAGGCTTTTTCTCTTGTACTTCTTACTTGCCATGACTCCCAGAGCAGTCACTGCCTGCTGACCATGCCAGGCTTGTCATCTAAGCTGCAGGAAAAGAGACAATGGTTTCTTTGGCAATATGCTTTGTTCCATTGCAGTCAATCAGAGCAGTTTCAGAGGGCGAGGATTTCGGTTCTTGTTCAAAGTGGAACCAATGAATGCTTTACCCCCAAAAGCTCAGAGCTTTTGGATGGGAATATCTTAAAGCAAATAAGCATAAGAGACACGGTGAAAAATGTGGAAATACTCAAATGCAGCAACTTGATAGCTGAAGGGAATAAAACAGGCTTGGAATTGCCTGGGCTGAATGAAGAATTGAATACAGACATCTGGGAGGATTCATATTGGGAGATCAGAGGGATATTGGGGAGGAATGTGGGTATATCAGGGATTAATAGGGGCAGGATTTGGGTATATAAACGGTTAAGGGAAGAATCTGGGAGCATTTTGGGGGAGACTGAGGAGAGTGAAGGGAGGGTTGGGGTGACCCCAGAATTGGGGTGAAGGCACAGTTAATGGGGTGCATAGTGTTAATGGGGGAGTGTGAGGGACATGGGAGGATCTGTGTATAGGAAGGAGGAATCTGGGGGTACTGGAAGAGATGTGTGGGGAGCAGGGGAGATTTGGGGCCAAGTTTGGGACGGCTCTGAGAAAAAAACTGCTTGTAATACTTGACCCTAGCACCGACCAAACGCAGGCACAACAAACGAAATAAAAAGCTGCAGGAAAGCACTTTGGTCACCCTTTCAGGACAACCCGCCCTACCCTGGGGCGGGCGGTTATTGATTGACGGGATCGACGCACCCGCCTTCACAGCGCGCCGCTGAGGGGCGCTCGCGGCAGCCACTCCCGCTCTTTCCTCCTGCGCATGCGCCGAGCCCCGCCCTCCCGTCGCAGTTTACCTCAGCGAGGCACAGTGGGCGAACGCGAGATTCGAACCTGCGGTGCTGAGAGAAGTGCGGGCTTACGGCGCCGTGTAGAAGGCTCCCAGCCGAGCCCCGCCCACTCTCGCCTGGCGCAGCCAATCGGAACCCTCTGTGCCCCTCCTCCCCGTCCCGTCGATTTTGCGAACGCATCGCGCTGCCCACCAATAGGGAAAGAGCTTCTCGTTCCGCCTCTGCGCTCGTTTCAGCCAATGGAAAGCGAGGCTTTATCATGGACAGTTGATCCGTCCATTGCCAAAGAGTCATCTCCCGTCCGGGGGCGTGACCCAACCAACGGTGCGTCACCACAGGAGGGGGCGTGGCTTTCCCGAGGGTATATAAGAACCCACTGCGGCCGAGGTGCCATTTTGTGTAGCAGTGCCTGGAGAGCGGTCGGCGGGGGGCGGCGGAGGGTTTCGGGGTTCGGACCAGAGCGGCCGGATGGTGAAATCCTCCCTGCAGCGGATACTCAACAGTCACTGCTTCGCTAGAGAGAAAGAGGGGAATAAAAGCACCATCATGCCCGCTGTGCTGAGCCTCAGTACCGGACAGAGCAGGTGAGGGGTTGGGGCCTCCCTCCCCTTCCCTCAAGGCCCGCCCTGGTGCCCCCCCTCAGGGTTGGGGGGGGGGGG